CGCTCGGAATGAGGCTGGTCATGGCAGATCACCTCGTGATATAATACAAAGGCCAAGGCGTAAGCGCATTTGCGGTGACGAGGCCAAACGGAGAAGAAGAGCGAAAGAGGCAGGAGTGGCAGCAACTATAAGTGCACCTTCCTCCTCCCCCACTCCACGTTCAATAGCAAGGGCACTTCCTGCGGCGGGAGCCAAGAGCTCCGTCTTCAATAAAGGCAAGGAGCCGGCTGCCCCTGCAGGAAATCGCCCTTACTATGAACCCCAAGAAAGTTGAAGAAGCCGCGCAACAACAGTAATGTCGCTGCACCTTCCAAAACCTTCACGAAGGCCGCCGTGAGACACCTTAAGGTTACCAAAGAGAGTGTGTGTTCGACGAGTCTTGGACTCCACGTGCCGATATAAAGGAAATGTCTCCTAGTGACCTGTCCACCTTTCTGGAAATGACAAAATGGACGATGATCTATTAGGACAACTCCACGGGAGAATATACAATGGGTTAGGTTAGGTTAGGTTAGGTCCAGGTTAGTTGCAAGATTCCCACCTTGATACCCACAGCAACCTTCCTATATGAGGGTTTTCACACCTGACGATGCCTTAGATTCAGCCGTGCAGGGCTTTTTCGCCTCTGGTTTTGGTGAATCATCACTTGAGCGCAAACGTTTGCTAACCTGCTCATGGTGGGCTTTCGTTCCACCACCTTCCCTACCCTACAGATACACAGTATGAGTAGAGAGGGTTCTGTGGCACGGAAAATTTAACTAATAGAAGCAATGAAGAACGTAGAGGTCTGAACGCCATACGTAGAAATAACGCCATGTGCAGTGTTAAAGAAAAAACATGTCTGCCAACGTAAAAGAAAAAAACATGGTCGCCATCGGGGTTTACAGGGTGTCTCATCATCTGAAAAAATACATGACGTCAGTATATACAGGGTGTCTCAAAAATACGTCATTCAAAAACATGGCAAATCCAACGGGGCTCTATCGTTTCCTAATGCGATTCTTCAATGTGCACAGGGTGTATCAAAATACATCGTTTAAGGAAAAACATGAACAGTTTAACCGGACTCTATTATTTTGATGTCTGATTCTTTAATGTCTACAGGGTGTTTCATTTAAGAAAAAACATAACAGTTCAACGGGGGCCCAACGTTTTAACGTGCGATCCCAATGAGAACTGCTTGAAAATGAGGTAATGGATATTCAGAGTATTCAGCAATGATATTTCAACATACATTGCTTTGCATGCGTTTTTTCGTTGCTCTATCGTTTCAACGTGTGATTCTTCAACGTGTGCAGGTTGTCTTAAAATACGTCATTTAAGAAACATGACAGTTCAACGGGGCTCTATCGTTTTAACGTATGATTCTTCTATGTGTATTACGAAAAACAGATTTTAACGGATTTAACATACTTTGTGCCTGCCCCGCTGCAAGGCGAATCAGGTTTTCAGTGTTTGACAGAGCCGCACCCTCACTATCTGACCTGAAAGATCACTTACCATATAAACTATTCGGCTTCGTTAAGAAGCTGGGTTTATTTGATCGAGTTTGAATAGGTGTGAGCCACAATACACCCTCGTGGGTTGCGGTGGAGATCGAATTGACCCATTCACTACCATTCACCTACCATAACCTCACTCCAGGAATGAGTTCCTGTAGTGGTCAACTTTTCGACTATCCGAAAGTAAACCAAATTCTGACTTAAAATTCCTTTCATTTATTAATAAAATCACATACACTCCCNAACCGATTTTAGATTTTTTAGTGACATTATTGTAGAGATTACTTCATGTTCAGTTGTTGGTGCAAGAAATAGGGTTATATTTATTGGATGTAAACTTGTATGTTCATTTGTTGTCATGACGATAGACTTAGAACATTGATTTATATAGAAGCTATTTACTTTGTTTAAGATTAATTTTTTATCTTTTTTTTCTTTATCAATATTTCTTAGAATTGAAACGTTCTTCTTTTCTGTTTTCCCTGTGTACTTTTGTACCAATATCCACACTGCTTTCCCTTTATTGGGAGCGTTATTAATAAACTGGTTGTTTATTAATTTTTTTGACTCTCTAATCACTTTTTTAAGTATTTTGCAATATTTATGTAAATAGTCTTGTGGAATTTTTCCTTGAAGTTTCATCTGATAAAGACATAACACAGAACAAATCAGGAGTATTCAGAATAGTTAGTTCCATATTACAATTATACTAGGGCATAAAAACAATTATTCGAGTGGGTAGATAATGAAATATTCAACATATCACAATGTAACACGATATAACACAATGTATACAGAACACATAAAAGCTCGAACCAATAAAACAATTCGATGATGTGAAACATAAAAATTAAAAAAATTACGAAAATTCATAGAGTACGTGATGTAATATATATTTTCAACTGAGCCTTGAATTAATATAAAGTAACATTATCTTCAATGTGGTATGTTAATTAGTTGAAATCATTCAATCCTTTGAAAAACAACGATTTCATAGATTGCTTTGTTCTTGTCCTGAAAATGTGATTGGTGGTTCTTGTGTTGTAGTCATGAATTTGATTATTGTACGTAATGAGGGAATCAAAATATTTTGGTAATAAATTTCTGGTTATTTTATAGATATCATACTTGAGTAATACAGTCTATCTGCCACATCATACCACTTGAAGGCACTCAGCATGCATTGAATGGGAGTGTATCTATTACATTCTAAGATGATTCTTAAACCTCGATTTTGCAGTTTCTGTAACTTCTGTATATTGTTTTTATCTAAAAGATAAAGCAAAGTGGAACAATAATCAAAATGAGGCTGTATATTTTTATTTTTGAAAACATGGCAACTTCCAATGAAATCCTGGAGAAAAAATAGTTTTTCTGATATCTTTTTACAAATATAGTCACAGTGTGCATTGAGTGTTAGTGATTCATCCAACACGAAGCCTAAATACTTGAATTCTGACATCCATTCAATTTTGTCTCCCTCCACTTCGAGTTGAAGCTTTTCATAGTCAATTGATTTCAGTTTATGATTCTTACTAATTATCATTGATTTGGTTTCATTCGTATAAAAATTATTACCGACTCTCAGAGGAGAATAACTCATTGGAAGTAGAAAATAAGATAAAAGTCTATACTTATAAATGCGAAAGTCACTCACTCAGTACTCACACATTCATCTCTGTTTCTCCGTACAGGTAAATCCTAAGAAGCTAAAATTTGGTATATAGGTGCTTTTTAGGTCTTAGATAAACACTAAGAAAGGATTTTGAGATATTCCAACTGGGGCGCCCCCCGTGGGGGATCTATGAAGTATATGTATCATTTCTAGTAAATATAAATGACGTGTTAATTTTCGTGTTATGTAGGCTCGTTGATTGATTCACTTCTTCGCCAACGAGTCCATTGTTTGCTCGTCATACCTATTCGTTCTGATCATCAAATTTACCCCAATCTAGAATCTAGGACATATTGAATCTGGTCGATTGTGAAAGATTTAAATTACATGTTTATATCCGTTCGCGAGGGAGCGCATTTCTGGGTCGGCACGAAACAGGCGTCCCGGCGCCAGACCTGTACCAATTTGGCGCCGAGAAGATGTTTATACGTGATGCTGCCACAACAACCGTCGACTTTAGATGGATCTGTTTTCGCTCTGGTAAACTGATCGACAAGACAATTCTAAAAACTAATTTTATCCCGTAAAGACGGAGAACGAAATTAGTGAGGAACTCTTTATTGAAGTTTTCATCGTAATTGATTCAATTTTCTGTTGAAAAATAATAACTATTAGGTTGTCCCTTTTGAAAAATGTACTTTAATATCACTGGAGTTTTTTCCCAACATCAAATCGTTGTTTTCAACACCTCGACACGTGTTTCGATCACCAAGTGATCATCTTCAAAGAGGAAAATTGAAAAAAATATTAAAACCAGTTTTAATCTTCCTCTTTGAAGATGATCACTTGGTGATCGAAACGCGATTTGGTGTTGGGAAAAAACTCCAGTAATATTCATTGCTACAACAAAGGTTCCAAACAGTGCATCATAAGATCTACTTCAAACTGTGATATCTCATTTTAAACGTATTCAATTCAAGCGAAATAAGCCCCATTTGAATCAGTGCACTTTTGCCAATGTAACAAAAGTAGATCAACTACATTTTCCTGACCCTGGTTGGTACCTGATCCTTATTGGTGGATATCCCACCGAGGGAAAAGTTATCGAAGTGTTTGAAAAGATGGGAGTCGATTGGCTAGAGGTCTGGAGATTATGGTGGGTGAGGCAGAACTTCGGCGATCTGTACTGTCAACCAGTACCAGCTGCTGCTGACGCAGTTTTCGGTATAGGCGAAGTGAACGATATTTTGCATATTTAAAGTTGGCGGCACCCTCAAATTCCAAAAAAAAAAAACAAAAACTAGTCCACGTGGACTGTAGACTTGTTTGTATTGGATAGTTTTTTACCAATCGAGTTTTATGATCGGCTGAAGAGTCATAAAATTAAATTTGAAGTCATATTTCGGGGATGAATAGAAATTGGGGATATCGAAAAAATGAAAATTCGCTTTATTTTTTGAACAGACAGCGTATGTGCCATAAAACTAAAAATAATTCATCTGCCGTATTCGGTTCACAGCTAACATAATAATAATAATAATACCGTCTTTATTATCTTCTAATACATTCAAATCACATTAATCATGTACAGTTCATTCATATAAGAAGACAAAAGGCGAAGTTCAATTTACATGATGACAAGTCATCATTCAACTTAACCTCAAAAATGTCGCCTAGTACGCAAAGGAATAAACAAAAAGAATTTTTAAATATCTTAAAATATTATGACTATTTATAGATTTGTAATAGGTTTGAAATTGATATTAAAGTGATTGAAGTCATCTCGTTTCATCAATGTACGAATAGTTCAGACTGTAGTTTTGAAAAAAAAATGTCAAGATACGTGATTATTGAATACTTTTCAATTCAGATTTTCAACTTACCAATGTCCTAGAAACAGTGGATTGAACACAGATCCATGTTGAATCGAAGAAGGGGATCCTTTGAAAATTGACGGAGCGAATATGTAACAGCACCCTTGCTTGCAACACTCTTTAGGGGGTGAACAGGTCCATTGGCCCCCATCACATTTATTCTCTACTAATTGCTGTCAACAAAAAAAATATGTATCACAAAACAAATTTTGTGTATATGTGATAATGAATATTTCATGAATTTTGCAAAAGTTAGCATCTTTTTGAGAAATCTTTTTATAATTTGCTATAGTAACTCCCAATGAACTGAGAGAATATGCTCATAAAACTTCTATAGAAGCAATACGTTTTTTCAAAAGTGTCAGGTTTGATTCAATATCATAATAAACCTTTTTTTTTGCTGTTTACAATATCCACATAAATCTGAATAGCTCTAGATAGCGGAATTGTTATTGCACATGATTTCATTATCCAAATTCACCAGATTGTGAAAAAATAAGCAGTTTCCTTTCATTTCGACTATATAACAAAATCACAATAACACTCCAAATTAAATACAGCATGTAGGGGAAAGTCGGGTAAGTTGAAGTGGGTAAGATGACGAACGGCTAGCAATTTCTTCAAACGTAACAATGTAGGTTTTCTGCATAGTGCCGCCATCTCGCCAACATTAGGGGAATTGAGTTAGGAACGCAACGCTGCGGAACAGTTTGCAGCTACAGTGGAAATGACTGTACCTCGCATATCTGCTCTAACATAACCATTGTGTCAAATAAGCATCCTACCCAATTGTTTAAGGTATGTTGACATTTGATTGTGCTCAATTACTAGTAATGAATGTATTTCATAGCATGTCACTACAATTATTATCGATATAATGTTTGTCGTGGAAATATGCTTTCCGGCTTCAAACATAACCTCAACGGGTAAGATGGTGCGGGTAAGATGACGAACTTCGTCATCTTACCCGCACTCACCCACAAAGTCGTCATCTTACCTATGCACAAAGTTTCGCACAGTAAATTCATTTTATTTTACAGAATGCCACAAAAATAAACAAAGAGGTCCGAAAGGCGGTCCTGCAGCGAAGTGAGTTTGATTGCAGCGTTGGAGGCAGTAGATGATGGTGAATCTTGAAATAGTGCTGCGTCACGCTACGATATCCCCGAGGCAACTTTAAGACGCTATATAAAGAAACATCGAGAAGGACCAGCACTTCCAGAACGTGGTGGAAGATACCGCAATACTTTCAGTTCAGATCAAAGTCAGTCTCTTGCCAAGTATATAACAGATATCGACAGAAGAGCTTTCGGGCTTACAAAAGTTCAGCTCGGGAGACTAGAATTTGACTATGCAGAGCAGAACAACATTTCACATCGGTTTAATAAATCATCAAAAATGGCAGGCAAAGACTGGATAAAGTCTTTTCGGATGAAATTCAAACCAAGTCTCAGAACTCCCGAGCCTACATCGATAGAACGTCTTATGGGTTTCAACAATTTTGCTCACAAAAACGGTTGGATGAGTACGGATATATTTCCGAAATACCTGAAACACTTCAAAACTCATACAAACTCCACACCCGAAAATCCAGTGCTTCTATTGGTTGACAATCATTCTTCCCACATTTCATTGCAAGGTACCAACTATTGTCGAGAAAACGGAATAGTAATGATAGGATTTCCGTCACACACTACACACCGATTACAGCATTTAGATGTGTCTTTTCTTGGGCCTTTAAAAACATATTTTTCTCGAGATTGCGATTCCTTTGTTGTCAGTAGCCCTGGTCAAATAATCACTAATAAAAATATTTGTATAATTTTTAATAACTCATATCTGTTCCATTTGTTACCCTAATTGTAGGTACGACACTGGC